ACTCTTGGCATTTCCATGTGCATTTCCCCACCACCACCCCATTTCCTTTCTGTTCTATGACAGTCCTACCAGAGTTGCAATGGGGTACGGCCTTCTAGCTACAGGCAAAAGCGGCCCATAACTCCAGCCCAAGTCCTCAGAGTTCTTTCCCTCAGTCAGTCCCCCCCCCCGTATGACCACCACATTTTAAAGGCATGGTCCAAACTCACAAAATGGAATTACAGAATAACCAAAGGAACATTCCTGAAACCCCTCCTCCATCCAATCTAATGCCCTATAAGTTCACATCCTTATCTGTTTCCCAGAAATCATTTCTGACTCAACTTGGCTCCATGTGAGATTGGCTTTATCTCAGATTAGCTCCAATGCAACTCAGGTCTGCAATCCATTTCTAGTTCAGGTTGGCTCTATCTCAGACAAGCACCATGTCGGATCAACTCCAACACAATTAGTTCTGCGACTCAAACTTGACTCAACTCAGCTCAATCCCAGATCTGCTCCATCTCAGATTAGCTCCACCTTCGATCAGCTCCATCTTGACTTGGCTTCTCCTCGGCTTGGCTCATACTCAACCCAGCTCCTTCTGAACTCTTCCCCATATAAACTCAGTTCTGTCTCAACTCAGCTACATTTGCACTCAGATCCCCCTCTACTTGGACCCGTTCACAGACTTAGCCCCCTTTCACAATTCATCTCACTACCCCTATGCACCAGACAACCCTATCAGCCACACCTTTCGTATTTTACCTCAGCAGCTCTTCTCCATCTCCCATCCAGTCTTGTTTCATCTGCCCCAACTTCTACACGGTCCACCACTTTTGCTGGCTCCACCTCTCATGTCCTTCAGGTTTGATGCTTCATCATACCTCCAGATTCCATTGCTTCCCAGGTATCCCCTGTAACAGCTCAGCAGAGCTCATCTGCTTTCCGCTTTTCTCCACTCCCACTCCTTCTCCCCTGAATCACCATACCTTCTCGCTGCAGAGAAACCTCCCTTTCCCCTCAGACTGGCCTATCATTGGTGCTGGCTGTGCCTCTGGGAATCTTTTGCTCTCCTAGTCATTTCAGCCCGTCTACTACCACTGCTAATTTGACTTCCTACATGCTGTTGACTTCACGCCCTCATCCCATTCAGCCCCAAGTCTCCGGGAGCCAAGTCAAGTCAAAGTTTATTTATATAGAACTTTTTACAACAGGTGTTGTCACAAAGCAAAGTTACAGAAAAATCCAAGTCCAAGCTTGGAGCAAGCCAAGGGCGACAGTGGCAAGGGACAAGGGCAAGAGGAAGGACCCTTGAGAGGAACTAAGACTCAAAAGGGGAACCCATCCTCCTCTGGTCGACACCGGATAGCAAGACCATAAACAAAAAAGCAAAATGAAGAGAGGATAAGGTTTTACAATCAATAAAAAGTTTTAAATATGTAGAGAAGAGAAAAAAAAATATCAGCTTGTCATTGAATAGAACTATTTAGATTAGCCAGTGATATCCATTGACTGATGTAAGAGGCTTATCAGAGTAACAATGAGAAATAGATCTATAACCAGTCACTGTTAGCAGTGAAAACCAGTAACAACTGTTAGAAGCCACACATGCCAATGGCTACTATAAGTCTACAATGAAGATCTGTTAGTATGAATATGAGAAAAGCTCAAAGTATTGTGAGGCAGGGGAAGCAAAGTCTATAATTAAATAGTTTATGAGGCAGGTGAAGCATTGTCTGTGATTAAATAGTGGTCAAACTGGTCCAGAATGTGGCCAACAAGTTCACCAAAATCAAGGCAGATGATGCAACAGCATCTGACTGCACAGGATGAGCAGTTGTGCAGCTTGGCAAAGAAACACCCAGACCGTTCTGTGAAGAGTGACTGAAAACAGTATATGTTAATCGAGCACAAGCAGTGACTCTGGCAGCTGTTACAGCCTCACTAAAGGGGAGAGCCAGAAAGTAACACAGGCATGACCATCAGCAAACTTGAGTGAACGTGTGAGAGCCACTTATCCTTCTGGGTCACGGGAGGAGCTGGAGCGTATCCCAGCAGTCAGTGGGCAGAAGGTAGGAAATAGCAATACTCCTGCCAAGTGATTTCGAAAAATAGAAACTACATCACCATATCCTTTCACCATCACTGGCCTACTAGGGGTTTGAAATTCAAGCAAGTGATTCTCATCCACCATCATAAATGAACAACCATTATGTTGCAAATAATAAAAAAATACCTTTTTTCAGCCTAGCCTAAACTCCACTAAACCATGTGAAGCCTAGCACACTACACCAAATTCCAAACCTTCTGACTAACCCCTCAAACCCCTCTGAACCCAGCTTCTCTGTACCACACTGGCATACACTCATATAAAGTTCTCTACCTAAGCTGCTACAGTTCTTGTCACCACTTCTGAAACAGATCTTGCAAGACAGAGATTCCTGGACCAGTCTTTCTCATGAAGGTCCCTCAAACATACTCTTGTTAAACCTCTCTCAGTTCTAGACCTGAACCTCTCCTGGCAAAACTAATCCAGCTCAAATAGGACTAATAGTGGTGCAGTACAGTTTACAGACACATTATTTACAGAGACATTATGTGAGTGCTCTATGAAAAATCACATTAAATAATACCACTGGTAAGCATGTTTGCTCTTAGTCCAAATGTTTAGACATGCTTGCTTTTTCTATCAGTCATTTAAGGCCAGACACATTTACTTTTTAAACTGTTAAGATTAATAATGGCTGTTAATGGCTGGTCGGTGGTGCTTCCCAATGGTTCCTGCTCCAACATTCATTATTTAATTATAAAACAGAGAGAAATAAAGTATTCCTGATTGTGGTTAAGCACAGACCCTGTTCATGCTTGGTATTGAATGCGTCTCCAGTGACCAGATTTCTTGTCTGGTGGAAGGACATCACATTTACTGCATCAGTCTCTTTCTGGGTTTATTGTCAGAGAAAAATCTACCACAGTCCCATGAGGTAGGAGCTCATTGTATAGATATGAGCAGACTGGGAGGAACAGGGTTAGGTCAGTATTGTGTGAATTCATGCTCTGGTTGGTGTTGCTTGTGTGACCAGTTTGATAGCTTGATGTTCCGGTACCTCTTTCCGGATAACGGAGGCTGAAACAGGCAGTGGTTGTGGTGTGTGGGGTCAGAGAAGACTGTTGCTGGCTTTCCTCAGACATCTCTCTCATTGTAAATAGGCAGTATAGGTGGGAGGGCAGCACAGGTGATGTGCTGGGCAGTTTTCACCACTCTCTGCAGGGCCCTGTGTTAAGCAGCAGCCGCACTGCCATACCAGACCGTGATGCAGTTTGTCAGGATGTGGAGGCATTGGTGGGCTATTTTGACAGTGTGTGATGCGTTGAGTGACTAGGTAAGATCCTTGGATATGTGGACACAAAGGAACTTGAAGATGAAGATGTCCAACTTTTTTACCATCGTCCCCTTGATGCTCAGTGGTGTGTGCACTCTGCTCCCCCCTCCTGAAATCAATAATCATCTCTTTGGTTTTGCTAATATTGAGGGAGAGGTTGTTGGCAGTGCACCACTCTGTGAGGAGCCTCACTTTCTCCCTATACAGTCCCTCATCGATGTTGCAGATTACTGTTGTGTTGTCAACAAATTCGATAATGGTGTTGGAACTGTGTTTTGTGATGTAGTCGTAGGTGTACATTGTATAGAGCATGGATAAAAGGACACAATGTGCAATGTGGATTATGGACTTTGGATTATGGATCTATGTGGGAGGAAAAGGTGTGGTCACCCATCCAAACAGATTGTGGTCTGCAGGAGAGAAAGTCCATAATCCAGTTGCACATTGTGTGACTTGTTCCAAGAGTGTTTAGTTTGGAGACCAGTCTGGAGAGGATGATGGTATCGAAGGCAGAGCCAAAGTCAAAAAACAGCTTTCTGACATAGGTGTTTGCTCCATCCAGATGGCTGAGTGCAGTGTGCATAGCCAGGGAGGCTGTGTATCTGTAGATCTGTTTGTGTGGTAGGCAAACTGATGGGGATCAATAGTGCTAGTAAGAGTCTCTCAAAGCACTTTATCACTGGGTGTGGGAGCAAGGGGGTGGTAGTCATTCATGCATGTGATGATGCATTTCTTTGAGACTGGAATGATGGTTATGGCTTTAAAGCTGGCTGGAACAATAGACCCTGCCAGGTAAAGGCTCAAATTATCCACAACAGTGGCAGCGAGCTGGTTGGCACACAATAAGAGCAAGAGAAATAAGAGCAAGAGGATGAGGACAGAGGGGGTGAGTGGAGGCAGAGGAAAAATCATAGTGGATTCTATTAAGCTTATCCTCAGAAGAAGAAGGTGACAAAATTTTCTGAGTTATGAGAAGAGGGTAATGGGGGAGAAAGAAGGTTGAGAAGGGAAGAGAAAATGCTGAAGAGCTTGCATTTATTAAATAAATTAAAGAGGTCTGGAGTTGATTCCAAGTGTTGAATATGCATGTGGTAGCTGTTCATGGGAACTCTCAATATGCAGTCCAAAAAGGTGTTAATGCAAGTGTAAGGGACTGAAAAAAAACCAAAACCTCGCCAGGAATGCACTGGCGAGTTCAGCAACACCAAAAGGCTTGGAAGATCACCAAAGACAAATAAAGTGGATGTTTGCAGAGCCCTTCACAACTTTTATTGTGTTGCAATAGTCAAAGTCTACAATAGAGAGAAGCCTTAATGAATGTGAATACAGAGGGTTTACCTCATGATGCAAACCACTGTTAACACTCAAAAACAGAAACAACTCAATGATTATTAGTCCATGTTTCAGCACAGAAGGAAATGGTACTGACCCGAGGTGAGACACAAATATAGCCGAGCGTCACAGCGCAGCATCTACATGACATAAAAGTGAAACTAACTTGAGTGCACAGTTAATATGGAGTATATCTTTTATGACAGTGAATAAAAAATACTCACTTTATTCCAGCACACAACAACACATGACAAATTAAATGTTGAACCCATTGATCATTCCCTTTGTGTCATTCATTTCCAGAATCTTTTGGTGGACTGTATTGAAAGCAGCACTGAGATCAAGCAAGACAAGAATGGGTGTGTAGAACGCTTAGTGGCTTAGAAGAAGGACACATGAGGCGTGAATGTAAGAGGCAGAATTAGTCTTACCTTAATCAACTTAAAGCTGTGCTTTTCAGCAACACGAAGACAAACTGAATGTTCTGGGATTATGTGTGTTTAATAGAAGCTGCAACAAAATGCAGAACATATATATGGGACAGTTCAGTTTCTTTTACTGAATCTGAAGCACATACGCATGTAGAAATGTTTTCCCAACATACTGTTATTGCACTGTTATTACTTTGTCATTGCATAAGTACTATTGGTGCTTTTTTTCTCACCATAAAAGGGCTCCTCAGTCATCTGGTAGACGTTCATTATTTCATATATGAAGGAGCTTATTTGTAACAATCAGTGAAATGTTGTTGAAAGTGTAGGAGATTGTTGTAGTAGAACATTTTGTACATGTATTTCACTGTGTGCATGTTAAAGAGTTAAGCTGACTTGTTTGTGTCTTTGTTTCTGTAACATTTGAGTTGCTTAGTAAACTGAAACATTTAGAAAGCTAATTCAATTTGCTGCATTATTCCATGTTTTTCATCTTAACTGCTCCTTTATATGTTTGTTTCTAAGTATATACTCATTTAACTGTGCTGTGTTCTTTTTAAACTTTTTTAAAATTCCAGACCCCAGAAATCTGGAGCAGATTCTCCAGAGCCCAGCTGTGTGTCTGTGAAGAGCAGCAGCTCAATGATTATTGGTCCATGTTTCAGCACAGAAGGAACTGGTACTGACCTGAGGTGAAACACAAATATAGCCGCGCGTCACAGCACAGCATCTACATGACATAAAAGTGAAACTAACTTGAGTGCTCAGTTAATATGGAGCATATCTTTCATGACACTGAATAAAAAATACTCACAAAATAGCACAAAATGACACATGATAAATTAAATGTTGAAATCTTCTTTTCCAGCCTTTCATCCAAGTAGAAAAAAATGAAGAACAAAATACATAATTATTACAGCATGGGTTTGGTCTTGGGCATTACATGTTATCATATTTACTCATGTAAATATTTTGTGCATCTGTGTGTGTGTCCCTGTGTCTGTGTGTCTGTGTGTCCCTGTGTGTGTGTCCCTGTGTGTGTGTGTCCCTGTGTCTGTGTGTGTGTGCCCCTGTGTCTGTGTGTATGTGTGTCCTTGTGTGTGTGTGTGTGTGTCCCTGTGTCTGTGTGTGTGTGTCCCTGTGTTTATGTGTGTGTGTCCCTGTGTCTGTGTCTGTGTGTGTCTGTGTGTGTGTGTGTGTCCCTGTGTGTGTGTGTGTGTCTGTGTGTGTGTGTGTGTCCCTGTGTCTGTGTGCGTGTGTGTGTCCCTGTGTCTGTGTGCGTGTGTGTGTGTGTGTGTCCCTGTGTGTGTGTGTGTGTCCCTGTGTCTGTGTGTGTCTGTGCGTGTCCCTGTGTCTGTGTGCGTGTGTGTGTGTGTGTGTGTGTCCCTGTGTCTGTGTGTGTGTGTGTGTGCAAGTGGAGTAAAAATGCTAAACGGTTGTTAAACAGTTAAGTTGACTTGTGTGTGTCTCTAAAATCTATAGTGATTAGTGAGCTATATACCCTAGAAAGCATGTTAGATTTACTGCAGCATTCCATGTTTCCCTCTTAACGGCTCCCTTTTTAAACTTCTCAATTCCAGACCCCAGAAATCTGGAGCAGATTCTCCAGAGCCCAGCTGTGTGTCTGTGAAGAGCAGCAGCTCAATGATTATTGATCCATTTTTCAGCACAGAAGGAACTGGTACTGACCCGAGGTGAGACACAAATATGGCTGCCAGCCCAGTCACAACACAGCATCTACATCATGTACAAGTGAAACGCTGTAAAAGTGAAACTAACTCCAGTACACAGTGTATCTGACAGTAAGCATCAAGAAGCACAACATTTATTGCCCTTAAAGCAAAAATTAGCTCAACAGTAACTTAAATGTGAGCTAAACATTTGAAAAGCAAATCATTTAGCCAGCCAGAGATTTCAGAACTAAACATTTCAACAGTTTTGCTACTACAAAGTTTTTTTAAATGTATAAATAAAAAAAAAAAATCCAAAAACTTATTCAAAATAACTATTATTTAAAATAAAATACAGTGGCCATGGCACTTCTGCTTCAGCTTGCTTCACTGCCCTTTTCAACTCATGAAATTTTTTTCAACTCATAAGCTTTCAGGTAATGAAAATAAGCCGTACCAACTCAGTTCATTGATGTTGCTCTGAAGTCTAGCAAAAATAAGTCGATTTTGACAAGTTTGTTTAATGTATTATTTAAACTGTATGTTAACTAAACATAAAAATATTGAGAAAATGCTGAAAATCATTTTTCTGTGTATTGTTCATATTTTTTTAAGTATTATTTGGTTTGAGTCAGAATCACTTTTTACAAGCCAAGTATATACTGTTAGTGTTGTGTCGTCCATTTTGTCACACGAATGATAAAGAAGATTGTGTTAAAAGTCCATGCATTTGTTTACCTTCATCAGTTTTCTGGCTTGTGATTAGGCCATTATTTTAAACCTACACCTTCAGAACAAAGCCTTTGTAGCACAGGATGTTTAACCAGTTTCTCATTTAATAATAACCATAAATAATGTGATTCATGAATACACATAGTATCTTGTCCATATGTTCAAGATATAAAACACATATTATAAAAGTGAATCGCATAGAGAGAATTTTCTCTGATGAGTGAGTGAGAAGCAAGCGAGGAGCAGGAAATAGACAACCCAGAGTGGAGCTGGAGCTGAATGATAACAGGACACTTTGAGCGAGGAGTGGAAACATCGGCCGTTCCAATCACATACTCTGTTATTGACTATGCAGGGCTGCAGGACTATTTTCAGAATTGATGAGCTGGTTCATTAAGACTTTGATAAGCTTGGAAACAAAAACCTGCAGGTATTAGTCTGACAATAATATTACATTCAGTCATTTACAAAAAATGTTTTCTTTAGAAGAAAAACATAAACATCTCTATTCTTATGCAAATTTTATATTTTTATCAAGGGCACACACTGTAAAAAGTGGCTCGTCAGATCTACTTAAAAAATTACTTCATGTAGTAACAAGCAATTGAACTAGTTTTATTCAACTAAAAAAATTACTTTGATTGAAAGAATCATCCATTCAAATAATTTATTTAGGTTGAGTAAAACTAGTTAATTTACTTCTTACCACATGAAGTCATTTTTTAAGTAAATCTGATGTGCCAGTTTTTACAGTGTAGCAACAAATTTTCGGCAGCAGGAAGCTCTATATACCAATAAAGGAACAACACATCTGAGCCCAAGATAGGCTGTTTCTTCTGTATTTCTCCTTTAATGATAAAGTGAAAGTAAACTAGAAATGAAAAGTTTGTGAATAAATGAAGTTGGCCTGAAAAAGCCAGCTAATTATGTGAAAACATTAAAATGGCGGAAGACTGATGATGGTTGCTAAATTGTTGCTTAGATGTTACTAGGCAGTTGCTATTGTATCAAAGGTGGTTGGTAATGTGTTGCTAGGTGGTTAATATGCTATTACATACCCCGGATACCATCCATTGCTACTTTAAATCAAATAGAATTTTAAATTAATTTAAAACTTAAATCCACTGATACCTCAAATCTATGACTACCTTAAGTCAATTTCTACCTTAAATCCACTGGTCCCTTAAATTCATTGCTACCTTACATCCACTGCCACCTTAATCTCAAATCTCCTGCTACTGTAAATCCACTGCAACATTACATACACTGCCACCTTAAATCTACTGGTACCTTAAATTCATTGCTACCTTAAATCCACTGTCACCTTAAATCTCAAGCTACCTTAAAGTAATTGATACCTTTAATTCACTGCTCCCTTAAATCTCCTGCAACCTTAAATCCATTGATACCTTAAATCCAAAGCCACCTTAAGTTCACTGGCAGCATAAATTATTTGGTACTTTAAATCCCCTGCTTCCTTAAATCCAATGACACCTTAAATCTTCTCCTTCTTTAAACCCACTGCCACCTTAAATCTCCAGCTATAAGAAGTTAAATGCTACCGTAAATCCACTGCTCCCTTAAATCTATTGCTGCCTTAAATCTAATGCCACCTTAAATCCACTGATACCTCAAATTAATTACTACCCTAAATCCACTGCCTCCCTAAAATCCACTTACACCTTAAATCCACTGCTACATTAAATCTCAGCCTAGCTTAAATTAATTGCTACCCTAAATCCACTGCTCCCTTAAATTCAATGCCTCCTTAAATCCACTGCTACCTCAAATCCACTGCCACGTTCCCAGATAGCAAACATATATTGATCCGCTGTTTTGATAAAGTCGGCACTTTGCTGAAGGCCACTGCTAGTCCAACCTCAGACCAGCCAGATCATTGTCCTGCATATATGATCTAACTAGTTTTTAATCTCTCCAAAAAAAAAATGAAATGCACCTAGACTTTTATTTTAGAAAATAAACTTTATAAATATATATAAACAAATATTACAAACAACTGAGAGAAAAAAAAATGACTAGGCCTAATGTAAAATGATTTTACAGAAAATGTAATTTCTGACATTGTGCTGGATTAAAATTATTTGTTAAACTAATTTACAAAGTATAACTGAAGAAAGGAAAAATAAGTAAATTGGAATGTGAGTGGAAAATGAGTGATGATAAGTGAAATTTTTTCTATTACTCTGCTTAACCACCGCTGGACCGTCCTGAAAACACTGAGCAAAACACTAGTGGACTGCTAGCTTTGCCATCAGTGGGCCAACAGTAGCCCACTATCCTCATGCTAGCTAGGGTTAAATTTACTCATACTTTAAATCTATTGCTACCTTAAATCCTTGCTATCTTTTGCACAGCCACTCAACATGGCTACATCAGGCTCTTTTATAAGGTCCTTGTCTGACACATAGGACAGACCAGGAATTTCAGATAAATCATCCAATAATAACACTGGTTTTACAGAATTTGCCTTACTCTTATTTTTCTGTTCATTATAAGGTTTTAACAAGTTTACATGCCAGAGTTGTATGCTTTCTTATATCTGGAGTAGCAATCAAATAATCTTTATTAGACTTATGCTGTAGAGCCTCATAAGCACCACTAAAGGGAAAATGTACTACTGGCAAAAGAACCATGACTTGATCTCCCAGGTTAAAATAATGCTGCTTAGCATGATGATCAAACAATCACTTAATTTTCCCCTGAGAACACTGCAATTGAGCCCTAGCCAACTCCTCAGCTGCATAAACCCGCTGCCTGAAATCATTTATATCTAACAAACTTGGCAGAGGGTATAAGCAAAAACAAGATCACTAAACCCTGTGCTTTCTTGTGTCACCTCCCTAGCAGCCAACATTAACCAGGGTAATCCCTCCTCCCAATGGTCACCTTCATTCTGAACATTGATGGCATGACGTGTTTATGGCATGTGCCTGTACTCCGGCATTGGGGCCCACACTCCCTGGATGAAGCCTAGCGAAGATGATGGGGGAAGAGAACGAGAATGGTGAGCGAGTGGGGGAGGCGAGTCCCAAACTCTGCTGCCCCGGGTTCCACCTCCTGTTCCACAGCGAGGCTGCTTCACTGCACCTCACGTTCGACCTGGGCATCTGTGATGGGATGGGGGCGTGGACCAACGAGCTCTCATTCCTTTTCGGCTCAGGTGCTTTAAAAGGAGAAGGAACAGAGAGAGAGAGAGTGACGAGCAGCAGCAGAAGAAAAGCCTGAAGAGCTGAAAAACCTGGTTTTGGAGAAAAAGGACTGGAAAGTCTAACTTTGAAGCCACTGAAAAGTGGCAAGCTTTGGTTGCGAGTTATATCGTTTGTTTGGTGTGAAAATTAGAGAATATGGCTGCTGCAACCTTGAACCCTGCCTCCAGTGTCCTCCTTGAGCCTGGGGTAGCATGTTATGTGCTACAGCGTTTTATGGATCAAAACAAACTCATCTGCCAGTAAGCTGGAAATCAAGCCTCTGGCGCTCCAGATTTTGTTGAGCCATTTCAGATTTCCACAGGAGAATCAAGGAGACAGAGCTCTTGTTATTGTTCAAAAGAAAGAGCACTCCCCCCATTTGATAACTCAGGTGAAATTGTAGGATTGTAGGTGGAGCTTCCTCCATTGGGGGAATTTTAAATCAACTAATGCTATCTTTGGCAGTTACCCTAACTTTGAAACAATGAGCTACCTCTAGCAACTGCTCTTTAGAAAAAGAGTCAAGTGTGCCTGCAGAAGGAGCCTGAAGAAAACCTTTAACCTCGGAAACCATGACTAAAAATGGGGATAATCAGGCCGAATCAAAATTCAAAGTCTAGTGTGTATGTGGTGTTTCACTGCATGGATGGGTCAAATGCAGAGGTGTAATTACCTCGTTGTGAGACTGATTAGGGTCTCTTAATCTTTTTCCTAATTGGTTTATGGGCTAATATGATCAGAATTTGTTTTACTCTCTAACATTATTTAAAACAAAAGTAGTAAAGCAGAAGTACTTCATTATAAGTGAATTCAAGTAACTGTAAGAGTGCTGTAATTTAATTTTACTCCAAAAAGTACCTTTATAGGAACAGTAACAAGAGTTGACTTGACTACATCTTCATAATATGTACTTGCATGTACTAACTAAAGCCAAACATGATATTATATAAAGAAAAACAGTTCTGAGTACTGAGACTGATCACAGTATACTCTGCTATTACTCATTTACACATCTTTCTGTGTAGACTGAGAAAAAGCAAATGAAAGGAAGAGAGAGAGCAGAGTCAGGCTCTGTTCTGTGAT